TTTTTTTAGTGGGTTTGTAGCAGAGGATGCTGTTTATAGTGGATTCTGCAGAAAAAGTGCAGTAGCACTTTGCTATTAGCCCAGGCTGTGACTAATTCTGTGCATGCATTTTTTGTAAATTTGGGTCACTAATCAAAAACTATAGTTAAAGTAAACAGCTATTGTTTTAGAATAAATTGACTTGAAGCAATATGGCTTTTATCTGCAAGTGCTTATAGTTAAGTGCTTAATGTCTGCACATTTGGCTATCCCTGAAGGAGTAGTTAGTATAATTAGGCTATTTAGTTTTGATATGTGCACATTTAGTGTTTCTGAAATTGGTGTCATAAATTGGTACAAAACGGCTTTCAGCACAGAAACTTCTTCAGAGCTCAAAACGTACAAATCTACTTTGAAAGGATCGTCATGCGCCAAGGTATTTTTGGCAGTTAGTGTGCAAACATCACCCTAGTCACATTTAAACTTTCTGCTTAAGATGAACAGTAATCCACTATACGAAGTGCTCTATACAGTATGCTCTATGCAGAAGTGCTCTATGCAGAATGAGTAAATTGTGCGTAATTATCAGTTCATATTCCTACGTCTGTACAAGTTCAAATTTACATTGGAAAATGTCCAGACTATCCTGATATTTGAGACCATATTTGATATTCAGATAAAAATGTTTTTGAAAGTAAGTAAACTTTCATGAAACTGTTACAGCACATTTGTAGATTTTTTTTATACTTCAGGTTAAAGTGCCTTCATTTGAAAACCGGATTTGATCAGAGCTTGATTCAATCTAAATCGTAAAATTATTGTATTTTAAATAAATATCACACGTAGAATGTGCAAAGACATTTACCCTATTGCAAAAAAAATCATGGCATCTTTGCTTCATCACATCCTTTTTTAATCTCCACAAATGGGGAAGAGAAATAAGGAATACTTTGGATAAGGAATACATAGAACATTGCCCCTTTAATGAATATGCACACAGTGCAGACAGGCCATCTTTTGCAACCCTTGTGCAATGTAGGCTTTTTTCTGAACCACTATGGTGCATTCTCAACACTATGTCTGGAATCCTGTAGCTTAGTAGGTAGTGCACTTGCCTCCCAAGCGAAAGGACCTGGGTTCGATTCTGGGCAGGGTGATAAAAAACTGGGCAAGTTTCCTTACTCCACACTCCTGTTTATCTTGCAGTAAGTAGGAACCCGGTTGTGAGTCATTTGGCGGATCACTTTTCCGTGGGTAATAACCCTTATAAAAAACATTTGATCACTCAATCCACGACTGTTTGTGGGACACTGCTATGCTCAATTGACTGCTGCCTTAGTATATTTGTGCGTGTATATATATATATATATGTGTGTGTGTTTGTGTGTGTATATATATGTGTGTATATATGTATACATACACACACACACACAATAGTTGCACTATGTGCAACTACTATATCTTGATTTCATCGCTCAGGACTGAGAGTTCTTTGATGCTGCTGGGCTTCGAGTTTTGTCTGAAGGCGTATGTTCTTAAAATCCTACTGACAGTTTCTGTTCTAGTTTGGTAAAGTCCTATTGAAATGTGGAGTTTGAACAAATGAGCAAGAATGCTAAGTTTACTTACCTTTGATACAGTAGTTTTCATTCTTCGAAATGTCAACCTCCATGTCTTCCTTTTTTTTTTACCTTCCTTGAAACTGTTTTCTCTACAAACGGTTCCTACTCTAGCCCCCGCACGGACTCGTGCGGCGTTCCTCAGGACTCTGTCCCTGGATCCCTCCTCTTCAATACCTATATGCTCCCTCTTGATGACATCAGCCCCAGACATGGGTCAACTTCCACAGATGACACCCATACCTCTCTGCCTCCACCCTTGACTCCAGGGCCACTGCTGTCCTGACAGAATGTCTGTCAGACATCAATTCCTGGATGAGAGCTAATTTTCTTCAAAACCGAGATTCTCCTGATTGGCTCCTGTAAATGCCTCCTCACCTTAAGCGCTGACAGCATCACCAACCATGGTTGCACACTCCACCTTGCAAAGCCAGTCCGGAACCTTGGCATCTTGTTTGACCCTCAACTATCCTTTCTACCCCACATCTGTGTCATAACCCAGTTTGCTTTCCCCCACCTCAGCAACATCGCCCAGCTCCGCCACTGTCTCACACCGCAGGCCACCGAAACCCTCATAAATGCTTTCATTACATCGAGGCTCGACTATGCAAACTCCCTGCTTGTCAGCCTCCCCAACTCCTCCCTCCATAGGCTGCAGATCATCCAGAACTCTGCAATCCGTGTCCTCTCCCACACTAGGCTCCGTGACCCTATCACCCCCATCTTCACCCGACTCTACTGGCTTCCCATCACACAGTGGATAAAGTTCAAGATCCTGGTCTTCACTTTTAAAGCCCTCCATGGACTTGCTCCCCCCTACCTCTTCGACCTCCTAGCCCCCTACCATCCTTCACACTCCCTCTGCTCAGCGGGCTCCGGCCTGCTTTACGTCCCCACCTCACTCGCCCCACTATTGGCGAGTGGGCCTTCTGCCACTCTGCCCCCACCCTCTGGAACTCCATCCCAGAGTCACTCTGCCTCGCCCCCTCCCTTGCCACCTTCAAGACACATCTAAAGACCCTCCTCTTCGACCGTGCTTTCGATCTCCCCATCCCCGACCCCCAGCTCACATCTAATATTCTGTCTGTCCAGCGCCTTGGGACGTCCCCCCGACGTGAAAGGCGCTATACAAATGTAATTTTTGTTGTTGTTGCTGTTTTGCAATTTTATGTTCAGTGTTCTGTTCAAAGAACTGAGAGCATGGTTCAAAGTGAAGCTTTGGTGGGCATGAATCAGATAATCCCTTAAATTTCTTAAAGGGTCATTGTTCCCAGGTGCTTGCCACCACAGCATCACTGAAATATTCTACTTATGTGTGGAAATTGAAGATCTTTTAAATACTGAGGGAAACTATACTTACGGAAATATCCAATTGTCATCCTTTATACCCCAGTACCTCAATTTATGAAGGAGTTAGATGAATTATTATGGATGCAACATGTACCACATGTAATCAATAATAATAATAATAATCCTTGTGTTTGATATAGTGCCTCATCATGTCTTCAAGATGTCTCAAAGCGCTCTACAGAATATACTATAAAGTTAATTGACTGTATATTTTGTGGGTAAAAGGTGGCAACCAATTGCGCAAAGCATTGTCCCACAAACAGTTGTGTATTGAGTGATTCAATTATTATCATTATTTATTATTATTATTTATTTGGGCTTTTTTTGGAGATTATTATCCCCGGAAAAACAATCCGCCAATCAACTAAAAACCATGCTCCTACTTACTGCTAGGTGAACAGAGACATCTAGAATAAGGAAACTTGCCTGACATTTTTCTCTGCCGGGAATCAAACCCAGGTCCTCTGCTTGTGAGCCAAGTGCTCTAACTACTAATGCTCAGTTGAAGAAATACTATTCTAATGTAAAATGAAACTTAAGGTCTCTGGTAATGGTCTTATGTTTAATAACAACAACAACTTGCAGGGGACAGAGAGGGAAGGTGACCATAAGCACAATCAAAAAGGATGTTCTTTATCCAGGTATCAAAGATGTGGAGTGAGGGGGCAAGGCAGAGGGATTGAGGAAGAGAGTTCCAGAGTTTAGGGGTGTAGTGGCTGGAGGCATGGCCACCGATAATGGAACAGAGGGCATGAGGGACAAACAGGAGGCCGGAGCCAGCCGACCGGAGGCAGCGGGTAATGAAGTAGGGGTAAGCAGGTCGGATAGGTAGGGAGTGCGAGGCATGAAGGGATTTGAAAACAAGTCAGAGGATCTTGAAATTGATCTGTTCAGTAATTGGGAGCCAGTGGAGCCTGGCAGGGACTGGTGTGAAGGGGGTACGGAGTTTTGTGCTGATGAGTATCCAGGCAGCAGAGTTTTGAATTCATTGGTCTTTGTGTATGGTGGAGCTGGGGAGACCAGCGAGGAGGGCATTAGAATAGTCCAGCCAGGAATGCGATAGTCTATCCTTTCCAAATAACTAAAGTCCCTCATTCTGATAAATCTCCTCCTCTCCAAGGCCTTAATATCCTTCCAAAGGTGTGTTGCCCAGAATTAGACACAATACTCCAGCTGAGGCCTAACAAGTGATTTATAAAGGTTTAGCAGAATTTCCTTCCTTTTGTACTCTATGCCTCTATTTATAAAGCCAAGGATACCATATGCTTTTTTAACAGCTCTATCAACCTGTCCTGCCACATTCAAAGACCTGAGTATGTGAACCCCCAGGTCTCTCTACTCCTGTATTCCCTTTAAAACTGTATCATTTATTGTATATTGTGTCTCCTTATTCTGCTGCCCAAAATGCATAACTTCACACTTCTATGCATTAAACTTTATCTGCCATGTGTCTGGCGGTTTTGCAGTCAAATCGAGTATGTTTGCATTTTAAAAATTGTGTTAATACCTGAAACATTTAGATTTTGAAGATTGTAGGGGAGTTTACAATGTAAACACATGATTCTCCATTACAAAAGTAGAAAAAAAGAATAATAAAAGGTAAATCATGCAAGCTATCAATGTAACACAAATTGCTTTCTGTTGCTCATTATTCATTGTGTTGCATTGAGTAGTGAGTATGATCTGGTGTTATTGTGCTGAACTGTGCCAGAATAGAGTGCCTCAATTTCATTAAATGGTTAGCTTAAAATGTTGGCCATGTTGGGGTTGCTTGCCCTGAGCAGATGCAAACGACTTTACTTGCAAGAAATTGAAGGAAATATTTATGATTGAGTTGCTGAGGACCACTCACATGAACAGGCAGTTACAAAATGGGAATGGCAGAGAGCTTGAGGTTGGTTTTCCAGCACTCTTTACTGTGTCATGTGGTTTGTAATTACAAAGAATGTTATTGGGAGAAAAATAGCTTGTTAAAAAATGTACAGTATGTTTTTGTTTCTCACTACCAGCTCTTGGAGAGATGCATAATTCTAACTCTTTTTGTATTTGTAGTCACTACATGCGACAGATACTAGAAGCACTGCGCTATTGTCATGACAATAATATCATTCATCGAGATGTGAAGGTAAGTTCAATTCACCAGTGATACTATTTATTTAGAAAAGTTTTAAATTGAGGCTTATTCAATGAGAAATTTGTAGAATTTCTGTTGAAGTTGGAAACATTTTTTGGGTAGGGATTTACAGTGTCAAATATTAAATGACTATGTTATACATCATCACAACTGAATAGAAAAAGATGCATTTGCGTGGAAAATACAAACTGAATATTTTTTATAGTCTTGGATGATCTGGGGTAGAATCCTCTTCATGAACAAAACGTTATTTTTTTCTCTCTATATTGGAAGCTTATAATGGAAGAAAATTATATTGAGTTCACGCTTTGCTGATGTGCAGCTAAAATTCCTGTTTAGACTTTTGTACTGTTTGTCAGTGATTTGAAAATCATTTTATACAGCTTTAGGTTATCTAAGCATGTCAGGGCCCGCAATAAAGTGTCCCATTGTGCAGTGCAAATAAATGCCATATGAAAAGATCATGATAATTTGCATAATTGAAAATAGAAATGTCACGGTGTAAATATTTTTTTGAAAATGCAATGTTTAATACTTCTGTGTGGCTAAAATGAACAGTCATGACCTGGACCAATAAAAAATTGCAGAAATATTTGCCCCAAATTGAGGGTTGCCCATTTTTTTGCAAGGGATTGCGGGGGCTTTATTGGTGCTATTGAGATACACATTTGTGAAACAACCTGGATTAAAACTATAGGCATATATTTCTTGAAAATGCAATTATGTTTAAAATACTAAAAATTGTAATTTGTATAGTACAGCAGTTACCAAGAACTTGTTGCAGGAGCTCAGTTTAGGCCTTGTGCCGAGCAAATAGACGGCAGTAGTGTGACTCAGCTGCTATTTCTATCGTGGTTCACTCACCACGGCGAAGCCGATTTCCCGCTCCATAGTTTCCGCATTCCCAATACTCTCCACGCCACACTCATTCAACCAGAGCCGCTCCGCCCACAGTAGCAGTGTCAACCAAACAGGCCTGGGCCCAAGCACACCGTGTGTGCAGGTCTGTAGTGGATGGGGTTGTTTGTAGTGGAGGAGGACGTTCGTAGCAGATTCCACAGACAAAGTGGGCCACACTTTTCTATTGGCCCAGGTCATGGTCTACTTTAGTAATTTGAGTTTGGCAGTGTGGAGGATTCTTGACCACAGGGAGCGGAGGGGGAAAAGATGCTGGGATAATGATTCTTTAAAGATGTGTTTAATGGAATGCTCTCATTTGTTTCATGGATGTTGGACTACATCTCTTAAGAGGTTTTCTGTTACTGGATGGCAGTGGAATTGAACAGTGCCTGAATCTCAACTCTAGTAACTCAGATTAATCTCAGCTATGGGAAAGATATGAATGAAGGTCCAGAAATATGTGGAGCAGCAGGTCTTTTGAGGGCCGTAAAGGATGCACCCCCAGGCAATGTTACACATACTATTGATTCAATGCAGCTCTAATTGTTGATTCATAATCTGATGTTTATCTATATGTCCTCAAAGTCAGCATTTCGCTTTCACCACAATGTTTGATGCCCATTTCTGACAAGGTAAACAAGAAAGTCTCGTGAGCCCATTTGTCTTTCTGACACCTGACACATTTATTAGCTCTCAAATGTTTATATTTGGATCCCTTAGAAATATTGCTTAACATTGAAGGCATTTAACTTTGGTGTTCATATAATCGAGCCCTATGGCATCTTCATAATTGCCTGTCTAATTTTAACATTATTTGTGTAAATCATCAGCTCTAGATAAATAGATAAAAAGAATCCATGCAACTTAATTCTGAATAGATTCTATTCGAATGCAAGATTTTCTCCAACCTATGTTTTTACTCTTAAGTAATTACTGGCAAATATGTAGGCCTACCGAACTTGTGCTGAACTTTCCAGGGTCTGAGCACTCTGCTTAGCATCCAAGCTAGTTCAAAACACCCATCATTGCCTAATGTGATGGAACCACTTTAGAATGCAAATGGCTTTTCTTCTGTATAGTGACTTGATAAAACCTAACTACAAATTCAAAAATATGGAAACTTGCCAGTCAGTACTATCAATGGTTTTAGCTGGTTAGGCTCCAGCAGTACCCCAATGCACACTCTGGGATCCCCAAGCCTTGGCTCCTGCCAACCTGCGCCTAATGCTCTCCGGAATTAGGTAAGCAGGATGCATTCCTCCAGGGAAAGAGTGCCCATTGTATTCCAACAATCTTATCGCTGGAATTTCCATGTGTAGGTGGGATGCATGGAATTCTCAGTTTGGTTTGGATATTCTTAAGCACGGTGATGGGTTTCTGCATGTGTCAGGCACATGGCTGACCCCCCCCAAAAATTACAAATTCAGGAAGCAGGTTCCTTCGTAATGTAGAAAAGTGAGAATTGATTGCCCAAGGTAAACTACAACTTTTAACTTTCTACTTTCTTTCCCGGTTTAAACAGAATTGTAATGAAAATTGAATCCTTTAGGAAAATAATTTTTCTGCAGTTCAGATGCATTTTCAAAAATGCTTTTTATTTTCACAAATGCTTTTTCTAATGTAGATAAGGTTGCTGTGTGAAGGAGACCTAACACCTTTGAAAAAAAAGGTGTAATTTTAAGGGCATGAGTATTGCGTGTTTGACCTTTGTAACATTTTAATAACATTTTATTTCTCAGATGTAATTTGTTATCTCCAAACAAAGATCTGGGCATTTAGCCACATGTTAGGCAGTGAATGAAAAAAAATTCTCTGGATTTCTCTACATTTGAGACTGGATTTTACTCTATTTTTATTCAAGTTGTAGAACTCTTACTGCTAATTAGAACTGAAAGATCACGCAATGTGTTGGTGTATTAGTATCACTATTACACATACAGAACTGCTCACAGGAAATATCTACAGATGTGTGCATGATGACTGGTGAAACCAACATTTAAATAATAATAATACTTGCATTTTATGATGGGAGAACATCTTGAAATGCTTCAAGATATACACAAAGTGCTTCAATGATTGTGTAACTTGTAGACAATATGAACTGTTTGCATACAAATTCTGTTAACACATCCATTATGGATTTGTGTAGATAGTGGTTAGAGCACTTGTCTTGCAAGCGAGAGGACCTGGGTTCGATTCCCGGCATGGTGAAACAGTGGCCAAGTTTCTTTACTCTACACGCCTCTGTTTACCTAGCGATGAGTAGGAACCCAGTTGTTAGTTGATTGGTGGATTGCTTTTCCAGGGGTAATAATTTCGTCAAAATAAATTAAGATAATTTGGTTTTTCAATCCATGACTGTTTGTGGGACACCGCTGTGCACAATTGGCTGCTGCGTTTTGCCCCCAAAATATACAGTTAATTCACTTTACAGTATATTCTGTGAAGCACTTTGAGACATCTATATGCGCTATATCAAATACAAGGATGATTATATATATTGTGTTGACATGGAAACCAATACTATACCATTTCTAAAATATTAATATAATTTTCTGTGGTAGGTTTTGTACATATATAAATATCTGATAATTTCATGCAGAAATCTAATTAACAGGTAAAATGGAAACCAAGTTTACTACAATGTATACAATATTTAAGGAAAATATTAAAGTATATTCTTGGTACATTTAACCACAGTTAAAGAGTGGGATCATGGTGAAAGGCAACACAACATCCAGCTTTTCATTGGAGGATGGAGAGCGCTCCCTATGTTCCTATTCCTGGGAGTCTGTATGTTACAAATGAAGATTCCTTTTATGTCTGCACAAATTTTAGTGGAGCCCAATCTTACTGTCAAATTAGAAAGAGCATTTTACTGCTTCTGGAACACCAATCTTCTTTTAGGCATTTTGAGAAGTTGGGAGGTAACTCTGCTGGAAAGTTTGAAAGTAAGTTAAATATTGTGCTAATATTTTTTTAAAAAGATATAGGAAATCATCTTTGTTCCTGAATCATAGCTAGTTTTTAATGATAAACTCTGTGGAAATGCCTGGATTGATCAGCTGAAGCAAGGAGTGGACTGTCTGCAAAGGGTACAATACCAGGGCACTTGAAGATGAGAGGTTTTGTGTCTATACTCTCACTCTGCTACTCCCAACAACAAAGGAAGAAATGTATTTATGCTGTGGGCTCGGCTCGGCTAGGCTCTGCATCTTCATTACCCATCCTTACCAAGCTTGGGACGTCCTCCCGACGTGAAAGGCGCTATACAAATGTAATATTGTTGTTGTTGTTCACTGACTCCCTGCAGGGAGATTCTCACCATGACCTTCAAATCCCTTCATGGTCTCATCCATCCTTACCTATTCTCTTGTTCATGCCCTCCACTTTTCTAATGCCTCTCCATTCCTGCTGTTGGTTGATCCTTCAGAATTCTGCCCCTTCTCTCTGGAACTCTCTCATTACTTCTCTTTGCATTGCTCCTTGCGTTCAGAACCATTTTAGAAACTTGACTGTGCCTTTGGTTAACACCCATAAATTCTCCTTCCTCTCCTCACTGCTCAGTACTCCCAACTGTCTCTGTTAAGCACTTTAAGGCATTCACTTGACGGCATGAAAATATGTTACAAAGATGCATGTTTTTGAGGAGTTGAGGTGAAATGTATGCATTTCAGTTTCCATGAAAACTTCCACAAGATTATTTAACACTAGAATTTGGCTGAACTTCACTCTTGGACATTGCTGTTTCTGAGATGATCACTTAAACATATGTATGTTCACTTAGGCAAATATAACCTGAAAGTGTAACTTGTGGACAATATGATTATCAATATAAATTATCAATATAAAAATGACAAAAAGATTGTTTTTTTTAAATAATTTTTTAAAAATGGCTGGGTCAATAGAATAGTGCTGACGCACTTTTTCCGCAGAATCCACTTTAAACGCCCCTATACAAATCCTCTATGAACGTAGTTTCTGGCCGGCTGTTTACCTGACATGGCTATGGGCAGGGCGTCTCCGGATGACCATGAGAGGCAAGAGGTGGTAAGCTCCTGTAGTCTCGCTGGTGTCGCCCCCCAATCCCCCTACCCCCCCCCAAAAAAAAATGGGCCACCCAGTTTTTTTTGTTAAAGAAGCGATTAATTCTTTTTCAACAATCTAATATGTGTTATTTCTTCATGTTTAGTTTTTATCAATAAAGCGAAAAAATGTAGGTTGGCAGTAAAATGTACCTCAATAGCACGAATCAACTCCGCGAAATGTTTTGCAAAATTGGTCAAAAATTTCCCCACAACTTCACCCTCAAATCTCCCTGCAATTTTTGGCAAATATTTCCACACTTTTCTATTGGTCCAGATTATAGGGTACCTTTATGCCAGTTGAGAACATAATATGGCAGAAGTAAAGGGGAGGAATAACACTGAAGAGGAGAAATTCACGTGATTACTGCACAAACTGGATTTTGGGAAAGAAAATATTTTTGATTGATTGTCTCCTCCACATATTAGTTCAGACTAGAAGCAGCTCCCTAAGGTACAATTAAAATGGTAAAATATTAACGTCCTTTATCTCAGGTCTTATGTAATGTGGAGTCCTGTAACTCAGTGGTTAGAAAACGAGCCTTGTAAGTGAGAGACCTGGGTTCGATTCCCAGCAGTGTGAAACCTTAGGTAAGTATCCTTACTTCAAATGCTTTATAATAATCCCTCAAGAAAAAAAAGAATAATTTGGTCACTCAATCCACAAGTGTTTGTGAGACACTGCTGTGCGCAATTGGCTGCCACTTTTCGTCCACAAATACACAGTCAATTCACTTTACAGTATCTTCTGTGAAGTGCCTTGAGACATCTAGAAGACATAAAAAGCGCTGTATCAAATGCAAGGATTATTATAATTATATTATTTACTTCACTTTAGAATTTCATGATCAAAAGTAATAGTAATAGTTTGGTATTTAAGACCAAGCCCATATTTTACTATTGCATCAATCTGCTTTATTATCAATATATGAAATCGTAATACACAAACAACTGAAAATGTAGATTTGTACATAATATATGCTTAAAAATCTGTAAGAGAATAATGCTTATACAGTAATAAACAATTTCATAATACGTATTTTGTTAAAGGGATTGTTGAGAACAGGTTGAGTGAAGTAATTGAGGACAATGAATGACTCATCATTGCAACTTTACAATACCTTTGCCAATTTTCTGACTCTCATCTCAAAATTTCCTCTTTACTGTGTGATTTTGATGACCTCAACGCCTACTGTATTTCACCCAACCAAATTGACAATTTTGCTGAGCACAGTATCCCTTTCCTGTTATGATGTACTATATTAATCCTGTATATACTGGGTAATACAGTGTCAACCTGATCTGTTTATAGAACTATTGGTGACAATTTTAAGTTTTATTTTTCATGCATTTTATAGAGCAGGTATTTTGTCAAGTAATATAAAGCTGTTCAAAGAATTTCAGTACAGAATATGTTAAATGCTACAATAGGATTTACATTTGACTCAAAAAAGCAAACTTAGTTTATACAGTTAAATTAGAAATTCAAATAAGCATCACAGTGCTCACAACTTTTCATTTTCAAATACCAATTACATTTTTATATATCTGATAATTTAAATAGTAGCGATATTTTAACTTGAGTCAAGCTACAGAATCATGAATCTTGCTAAAACCTGAACTGCTATTTGATTTTATATAAATTTGATCAAGTTTGAAACATTCTAATAATAATCCTCCAAAACAAACCAATAATAAATTGGTCATTTTCAATCCTCGACTGTTTGTGGGACACTGCTCTGCGCAATTGCCTGCCGAATTTCGCCCACAAATATACAGTCAATTCACTTTACAGCATATTCTGTGAAGCCCTTTGAGACGTCTAGAAGACGTGAAAAGCTCCATATCAAATGCAAGGATTATTATTATTATTATTTTTTGAACAATATACAATTACCCACTTGTGATTAGAGGAACTATAAGACAATAAGATATACATTGCAACAGATATTTCTACAAAAGCTCAATTCTTGTTTAAACAATTTGTGTTATTTTTTCGGGTTCCACTACTGTTAAGTACTCCAAGACACCGTATGGATGCATGAAGTGTGCTATATAAATGCGAGTTGTTGCATTTAATACATCCCATATTTACTCAAATCTAAGATCATCTTTGAATCTAATCGATGGGCAGATTTTACAGATTGAGGAGGGTGGAGAAGGGAACTTTACTCCAATTCTAAATTTAAATTTACAGAAAAAAGCACTTACCCTTTACAGTAAAAAAGCTTTTGTCTGACTTTCTCTTTTTCTCCATGTAACCCATTCTTTCCATATCTAATTCTCCCCCACTGTATGCACATGAGTGTGCGCGTGTGTCACTTTCTTTCTCTGACTGTTTTCTCACTTTTTTGCTATTTTAGTCTCTCTCCCTGCTCTCATTTTGCCTTCCATGCAGCTTTTTCATCTTGACTATACAGCCCAAGTTTACTTCAGGTCAACTTCTCTGTTGTGGACATGAAGTAAAAAAACAAATGTAAGGTGTTATCAATTCTAAGACGGAGCTGGTTTAAACGTTTTTTGAAATTAACAATAACAGAGTCTTGGCCAGAAATTTTGGGATTCAAACTGTACAGCAGAACTTGAGCTCATGGTCCAGTCTGACACTGTGCAGAACTGGTGGAGTACTGTATTGTCAAAGGAGGCATTTAAACTGTGGTCCCATCTATTTTTTCAAGTGGATGTTAAAGATCCCATGGCACTTTTTAGAAGACAAAGGCAGTTGTTGCCACTGACTTAGCAATCTTCCAGATAAATTGATTATTCACCACTGATTATTCGGGGAGTTTGCTGGTTTACTTATAGCTACCACATTTGCCTACAAAAAGCAATCATTACATTTGAAAAAGAATATGTGGATGGCTACCCAAAAATACACCGTCACTCCACTTTATAGTATATCCTTCAAAGCACTTTGGGGCATCCTCCCAGTATAAAAGGTGCCATATCAAACATATGGATTATTCCCTGTGAAGTCATTTGTGACGTAAAGTGCTTTTTTAAATTGCCTGGCTTCAGGAAAGCTTATTGATGGTTTACATTATATCAAATATTAGGTGGCAGTTTTTCAAAAATGTATACAATGGATATTAGACTTTGTTGTTGGGTAGTAAGGAGTTTCTATTCCCATGTTCCACCTTTGTAAATGCATGTGACTGTTCTGCTGTTTGATGGATGGACGATAAGGTTATACTTTGAGTTTGTGATCTTTGTAAAATGCTACATAGATTCAATCGAAATGATTTATTCAATAGAATGTACACAAAAGGGTCTGTGCTACTTCTAAGTGCTGCCAAGAAGATCAATAGATTTTTAATTTCCACTAGAAGACTTTTTTGTTTGCAGTCACTATTTGGAATGAGTTCAAGAAATATTGGTCTGTAAATATGATATGGAAGAAAGCAGATGGCAAACATAACTTGAATGATTGATATTTTTCTGAGCACGTTTTTGTAAACGAGGTGTTTCTGTTCAATAGTTGAGTTTTTTTGAATGATGTACACGTGGTACACTAGGGAAACATTCAATGCTAATAATACCAAGAAGCACAAGTAAAAGAAAAATATAGCAACAAAGCTTGCATTTCCGCTAACTGATGCACCTATTTCCACATTGATGTTGTAGCAAGATTCTTGATGTTCACGATGTTCATATTTGGACTCTGTGATACTGTAATATAACGTGATGGGGCCTAACACACATATGACTGTGAGCCAAACAGAGCTACACAATACTTTTGCAAACGGTACCTCCCGGAACCTTTTTAGAATACGAAAATGGTTGAATTTCTTCAAAATTGGGCAGTTCTGACATTGGCTGTAATTTGTCAATGTTGCATATTGACTTAATGCAACCCAGCACAGAATTAAGATGGTGAAATATAGGCTGATGTAAAAGATGGGAGTCGCAAAACGGACAGCGGTGCACATTGCTGAGTCTGACAACCAGGATTGACCTTCTGCAAAGTATGCAATCAGAAAAGGCATGATCATACAAAGTAACAGATTGGAAAAGATGAGGTTTATCAAATAAACATGTATTGCAGATTTAGTACGAACACGCTTTATAAAAATCCACAGAGCTAGGATGTTCCCGATGCTTCCAGTGACAAAAATTAACGAATAGGCAAGTGGCAGAAACCGCTTCGTAGCCATTGTCTGGTGAAAGATATCAAAGCATTCTGTAGTATTACTTGAATCCGGAGATGATGTTTCATTAGCCATGAAGCTAAGTAAACAAAAGAGATTGACACAATAAATGTTTATGTGCTTGTATAGATATGCTACATATAAATAATAACTTTGCATTTGATGAATGGAATTAAAATTATCAATTCAAATTAAGATTATGCTACTGTACAATAACAGAAAACGTTTCTTTCAATGTTTACATTTTTTAAAGGTGTGGTTCTTCATCATAGCAATTCACATCTTTAAAACCAAGAGCAAAGCTGCTAAGTGCAGTGACTTTGGCAATGTGAACTTGTAACACTCAAGTTCGTAACTTCTGTCCAGGACCTTGGGACGTCTTCCATGAAAGGCGCTATACAATTGTAATTTTGTTTGTTGTTGTTTGTTTGTTTGTTTGTTTGTAAATGTGCATTGGTCTCAAGTCATAACACTTAAGGAAAGGAAAGTTATCTTCTTTGAAAAAATTACATTTAAAAATTAAAATGTACAATAATAATTTACCAGTATGAATTTTAAAATTTTAATTTCCTTCACTCTCATCTCGGAAACCGATATTAATCACAATGTGAAATTCTCCAGTGATGCCAGATATTTAGCAGCCGAGCTTAGACTACCCCAATCCAAGATGCATCATCAAGTAACACTAATCAGAAAATGCATTCATATTACTTACGGTCACCCTGGATCACTTACGTAACTGCCCTGAATATTTATGTTTTTTAATTTTATTTAAAACAAAGAGTAAATTCCATCAATTAAACAATTATAAATTTCCCTTGTTGTGAAGGAAGAATTTCAGTTACAATTCCGCCTTCATTTAGCATGGCTAAAATTAGGGCAATGCTGCATAGGAATTGCAGGCGAAGATCCACCTCCTGCCACTCTGGCATTTTGCATCAGCAGTCTGGGGCAACAATACCATCCTGCAAATTTGTCCTTCCCAAATGTGACTTACCTGTTGATACTTTGTACTATATCACCAGGTGTTTGTCAGTGCTTCTAGCATTTGTCCTCAGAGCTGATAATGGCTGAACCCAGTCAGAACCTAAAAAAACATTTTTTTTTAAATATAGAGACTTTTTCTTTCTCAACTAAAATATTTAACCAAAATAGAAATAAAGGCAGGTAATTATAGCTCATATGTCTTATGCTCTTATTGAATAGAAACCAGTTCTGAAAATGGTATTTGGTGAAATACTATATTTCCTCTGTCGACAGCATGGATTGAAACTGAAGGTGTTGCACATTGACCATTTGTTTTCATTCTCAATGTTCCTGTGTGTCATTTTAGTTAGATCAGTTCCTCAGTTGAGGCTATTTGCACTACCATTTACTATGTACTAAAATTGAAAAGAGATTTTGATACCGATAAATAATAATTGTGGAAGGCTGCATGTCTTTGAAACAGTTTATGTGCAATTTGGAATTCTTTAAAGCTATTGAGTTTGCAAAAATTAAATCCTAGAATCTTTAAAGCCAAATGTTTCAGTTAGTAATTTCATTAGAGTTGATTTATATAATTGGTGAATTATTTTTATGACTGGAAAATTGTTTTACACTGGTGATATAAAATAATATTGATATTTCTGTCTGAATGATTGCAATCTTGAAAGAGAAGCACTTCATCCAGATTTACAGTAAACCATAGGAGCCTTCTTAAGCACTTCTTAACTTTTTAACCACATATTTTCTTCCTGTCCACGTATGTTTTCTGTATCTCTCAGCACAATCACCCTATGCCCTGTGATTGTCACCACACGTAGTCAGAACCTTACCCACTTGATACCAGGGATCCTTTTATAGTTGATTGCAGCCTCAAGATGCTCCTCTTACATCCCAGCATTGCATAACTTCCTCCTGTTGACGGTATGTTCCATATTTTTGAAAAGCCACTGAGAGATTTAGGTACAATGAGAGAAACCAATTTTCTATAATTCTCTCATTTAGATTAACTTCTACTGCAAAGAGTGCCACTGAAGGTAGGTAATTTCCACATTGACCATCTTTTTGGCTTTTTGAGTAAGACTGCCTATTAGGGGTAGTTCACTGTAAAGGATTAAACCATTAGGGATGTGCATCCTTAAGACCTTTACACGCAACAGTCAGAGGAGACTTTGTTCCTATCTGTCTCTCCAGATGAGATTAAATTCTGGCCCCAGAGGGCAAGAACAGTGTTCCTAACTCAGTGTGCTACCGTTCCATACCATTCCATGAACTTTGTCACATATTAAACTAAAATTAAAACCTCTGGTTTAATTGGTAGCTTTTTTAAAAAAAATATTTTATGCCAATTTTAGTGAAAATCATGTGTTTAATTCTCTCCATATGCTTTTGATTGATTGCCCCCGAGAGAAGAATTGTGTAGGAACACAGGATGTAAATAGCATCTCATTGTTTTTCAATACTGTAATAAATATGCAAACAATTTAATTCAGCTGATTGTGAACCAGCTTTTTTCATGCTTTATTATATAATCTGAAATCTTCTTTAAAACACAATTAGAGAAATCCAAACCTCCACATAAAATATTCTTCGAAAAAGCAAATTTAAATTTCTAGCATGTCCTGTACCTTTGAATTCAAAATGAAGAGAATGGGAAACTTTTTCTTAATCTGTGTTTGAGCTCTTAAATATTCAGTTTAAAGTTACAATTGGAGAGGAATTGAACAGTTCAGTTAAATATGAAAAGAAATAAGTGTTACCAAAACAATCATTCATCAACGAGTTGTTACACTTATGGAGTTTGACGCACCCATCTATTATACTTTAGCACATCATAATAACAGTGGATGAGAGCAATGATAGTTTCACCACTTGTGGAAAACACAGCTGAAATATTCATCAAAGTTGATGCGGTGAATTACTTTGAAGTCTAGTGACTAATGTGTTCCAGAATAGAATATATATACATCAAAGTAGATTTAAATACGCAGCCAATATTCACAGTTACTATGTTTAGTTGCTCTGCTACGCTTTGAGACATTTGGAGTCGTAAGTGCATCATTCAATTCGACCACCTAGCCAGCCTCATACTATGGATCTTCCATTTAGTTTGCTCTTGAGAACCCACTGTTTACTTGACAAATTTCTCTACTCAGCTGTTCCCAAAAACGAAAACCTGTTTTGCGAGGGCTAAATTGTTTTGCGAGGGCTAAATTTAAAAGTAGTCCACGTAGGGTGCTACTTAGTAATATAACGGTTGTATAAAAACCCACTGTGAAAATCAGTAAGAGTAAGAAATACATTTCTTTTTTTGAGAAAATTGATCCATTTTAGTTCATTGTTCATCCCCTCTTAAGCAGTTTTGAATGTTACTTCGCCCCATCTGAGGAGGTGGGTAGGTAACTTGCTTCACTATTTAGTCACCATTTAATACAGTTATGTTATCAGAAAATATAGTAATATTTTTAATTGATCCTCCTGAAAAATAACTAGTAATTTTTTTTAAGCAAAGTCATCTTGAAAGCTGTACTACTACTACTAATAATAATCCTTACATTCGATATAGCGCTTTATCAGGTTGTTGAAACATCTCGAAGCGCTTCAAAGGATATTCTGTAGAATGGAGTGAGAATGTATTATGTGGCTGAACCAATTTATGCATAGCAGTGCCCCACAAACAGTCATGGAGTGGGTGACCAATTTTATTTGGAAGATTGTTAACCAGGATACTGGGAGATCCTACCTTCTCTTTTCAAAGCATGCCTAGTATTATTAGGTCTTTAACAGACAGACCAAACTTCTCTTGAATATTTATCCAAAAACAACACCTTCAACAATGCAACACTCCCCCAGCACTGCATTTAAGTGTTAGCCTAGGCTATGAACTTGAGTCCCACTGTGGAGCTTAAACCCAAATCCTTTTGACCCAGGGTGAGAGAGTTGCAACGGTGCTTGACTGATTGATTGACCGAGCCTGAATATACCATGAAATAAATAAATTGTGACACATCGACTTGATTAGTTTTGTGTTCGGCAAGGTGTAAAACATTTCACTTGAACAATTCCAACTTTCCAAAATCAAAATCAAGCATTCCAGGAGTAAAGCTCCCTTTGCTGTGAACGGTCGTTAGAAAGGTATTCCTGCCTCTCCCTCCCTCCCTCTCTCATATGAAGCTTTAAATGAAATTGGCAATTTAGTATTGAATTTGAACTGCGTATTATGAATTATTTGGTTCTAGAACTGGTTTAAGACTGCTTAATCCTATCCAAAAGGATTCTTCTTCTTCAAAGAGTGGTTGCATTTACTCCAACAGACTGAGCCCAGAGACAAAAGGACAATGCAGTAATTTACCCAGTCCCCTGTTGGTTTTAAATTAAGGGACTTAATCTATACTGTTTTGATACACTGCAGTTTTGATTACTGATTAATATACCTATGTATATAAATCCCACTCATGCATGTGTGACAGTTCCATACATAATAGATATTAGTAGAATCTTAAGGTATTTTACCAATTATTGGAAGGAAAAAGGTTAGAAGTTGTACAACGTAACTAAAGAAACATTTAAAAACAAGGAATTCACTTACCAAGATCAGATCATCAGTATCTTTCAGCTCCTTAAAATTAACTGCTTCTCCGTAAGCACAAGTATACAGAGATCACTTCAACTAAGTCATTTAATGGACCTTCAACCACAGTTTGATTAACCAACTGTTTGCTGACAATTTTTTAGTTACCTTGCCTCTCGGGTAACGCCTCTATAAATTCGGCTTTATGTACTGATTATTGTAAGGAGACATTTACAAACCAGAGAAGTTTTATAATTCAGATTTTTAGAATAAATGTTTTTAAATTATATTTAAAGCTATTATGTTGTAGAAATTATAATCACCAGACTGGAGCTTTTTTGCAAAAGCAGTATTGGGATGTAGTTTGCATATGTTTTCTTGAGGGTATCAATCTCCCTCAAAAAAAATGTTTTCTCAACAGTGACTGAAATTTTTTTTGTTCTAAATTTAAAGACTCAATCGTGCTTTTCAAATATTTGTTATGATTTTGCAGCCACATCCTCTCAGAGTTAAGTAGGGAATGTTTGAGTGAATTGGCACAGAAAAAAAAGGAACAATGTTTCTCTGTATTAGTCAAATCAGTTGCAATAGTAATAGTGGAATTTAAATAATAATAATAATAATAATCCTTGCATTTGATATAGCGCTTTTCACGTCAGGAGGACGTCCCAAAGCGCTTCACAGAACACACTGTAAAGTGAATTGACTGTATATTTGTGGGCGAACGCGGCAGCCAATTGCGCACAGCAATGTCCCACAAACAGTCAAATGTTGCAGACTGGAAAGTTAAGTAGTAGATCCTTTAGCATGGAACATTTAAGCAATGCTTTCTTATGATGCTGTCATTAATGCTGTCATTACATTAATAGCAATGTAATCAACGGCAGTTGGGGATGTTGTGTGCCACAGCTTCTGGTGGAAGCCCAAGTGATGGTTTTAAATCTAGCCCTCATAATTATAAAAAGGAATGTCTGAGTCTCTTGCTAGGAAGTTACAGCAACATTTACAGATCCATTACCATTGTCTATTTACCCCCTTTGCCCTTGTCTTTCTGTTAAGGCCATTACAACCTTTCAGCAGCAAAGTAACAAAAGTCAAGTTTGTTCCCTCATTGTATTGTATTACAACAGTTTATAATTTAATCCAACCTTTTACTTTAACTGTCAACACTAACATTCATGATTAATTGAAATAATATAATAATAATAATCCTTGCATTTGATATAGCACCTTATCACATCATTGAAATAAAGCGCTTCACAGCCAATTTTGTAAAGTGGATTCACTGTGTACCTTGTGGTCGAAACTCAACAATTAGTTGCGTATAGCAATATCTCACAAACAGCCGTTGACTGAGTGACCCAATTCCTGCTTACTGCTTGGTAAATAGAGGCATGTGGAGTAAGGACATTTGTCTAAGTTTGCTTGCCTGAGAATCTGGGTCCTCTGGGTCCTCTCACTTTTGAGAGGCCATCACGCTATGCTATGCTATGGGATTCTATGCTATGGGATTCCAAATAATGTCTTAATTTATTTCTGTAAATGTTTGATTTAAGGTTCAATTTTCTTTTGCTTTCTCTGTGACTTTCATATTTGACCTCTTATGACTTCCCTGCTCGTTGGCCTTCCCTACTCTTTCCTCCACAAACTGCAAATCATCCAGAACTCTGCAGCTCATGTCTTCTCCCACACCAGGTTCTGTGATCCTATCACCCCCACCATCGCCCGGCTCCACTGGCTCCCCATCCCCCAGAGGATAGAGTTCAAAATCCTTGTCCTTGCCTTCGGGGCCCTCCATGGCCTTGCTCCTTCCTTGCTACCTCTGTGACCCGCTAACCCCGTATCAACCTGCCCACTTCCTCCGCTCAGCAAGCTCCGGCCTGCTCCACGTCCCCTGCCCAGCCTGCTCCACCATCGGTGGTCGGTCCTTCAGCTTCTCTGCCCCCATTCTGTGGAACTTCATCCCACATTCCCTTTGTCTTCCTCCCTCTCTTGCTTCTTTCAAAGCACATCTCAAGATCCACCTCTTCATCCGCGCATTCGGGCACCCTGCTAACCCTACCCTCCCTGCTCTCCCCCAACAATCCTCCCCCCACCCTCCCAGTAGCAACTTCCTAACCCTGCAGAATCTTGGACATCCTTCCTCCTGACATGAAAGGCGCTATACAAATATAATTTGTTGTTATGTTGACTCTCAATGTTAACTTTAGATTCCCTGATTTTTAACACTTTTTTTAAAAAAATGCATTTTGAACATTTAGACTTTTGAACTAAGTAAATGTAAAATTAACGTGTTCATATAATTTAATGGTAGCTTGTAATGACACTGAAGTAAAGCACTAAATGCATTTTTAACTAAGTTTCAATTTTTTTAGGACATCACTAAGCATTACTACTTCAGGATGCATTTGACATTATTACTCTAAAATGTCTCAAAACGTTT